TGGGTGGTATGTGCCCTGCTAACCTGTTAAATGTCCTTCTAAATTAAGATGAGATATATTTAATATATCTCTTGAAATAAATGCTCATGTTGGAAGTGAAATTTGGCAACTGTTCAACTGAAGATACTGGTTTAGGATGGAGAATATCAGAAGTACCACATTAAGTAGATGCTGAAGGGGTCGTTATTTTTTTGGCAGAAACGTACAAGCTGGAATTTAGCCAGGGCACTGAGGTTAACACAATTGCTTTTTCCAGAGTTCATATGATCTTAAAAATTTGAAGTAGCAGAGTTGCCTGTAGTTCTATGGGGGAGCACTTGCTCTGTGCTGAGACAGAAAGGCCTTGCTTGGTGACTCAGTAGTGCCATTTCTCTCAACATCAAAGGCATGTCTACCCCTTCTGCCTAAAGACTGACCTGGCATGATTTAGTTTACCTTACATAAGCTAGTATGTTGATGCATAGGATAGTAAAACCACAAGAAGGAAATATTGATTTAGGTACACTTTCCAAATGATTAAATACTCTTACAGACTTTGAGGCTTTTGAAAATATTTTAACTGGTGGAAAGTAAGAATCTTAATGTGCTTCAGATTTGCCCAAGTCTGATTGGACTTATTTTTATTGCATTTAGTTAATTGTTTAATGTTATTATATTCCTTATTTTATTATAACCTCTAAAGTGGATGATATATACATAAAATGCTAGTAGTCCATTCCAGTAATATCTTTCTCAGAGTTTCTTGAAAAAGCAATTATTATCTTTAAGAGGAAAGCATGGCTGAAATCTTGATTGAATTAACATGTGAAAACTGTAATGGAGAATGTTTACCCTGTAGGATGCTTGCAAAATTTTTCTTTGCTGTTACATTACATTTGAACAGATAAATAAATTATACTTGCTATGAATTGAAGGAGAATGTTGACTGTATAGTACATCTGATAGTCTAGTAATGGTGAGAGAATACTACTTCTGGTAATGTTGTAATGCTTCAAGAAAATTCTTACAAACTATTCTCTCAGGAGTTATTGGTCTGAATTACAGAGCATGGATTGGACCTGCTTGATTCCAGCCATACACATGAATGTTTTTTATCAGAAGGAGGAACCAAGTGGACCAAGGGATATCTCATTAACTTCTCCTAGGACAATTAGCTTCACTATGCCCTCGGCAATTCAAAGATTTTTGGCTTGCCTTGCTCTTTTTTTTTGTGTGTGTAGGGATGCTCAGTGAACAGAGAGACGACATTTGGTTTTGTGAAATTCAGGACTGGAAGTTTTCCTGGAACATGTATAATTGGTTGAATAGCATCGTAAAGGGAAAGGTATTCCTCCCTTCCCTCTGTTGCCACCCAGGCAGAGCTTGTTTTGCAGACAGCAGTAGCTGGTTTGATAGGAAGCTCCACTCTGTAGGTGGCTTACATGATCGAAGTTAAACTCCTTGATTCTCACAGAAAATCCTTTCAGAGCAGGTTTGATAAAAATGATGGGAAATCTTGACTGGAGCCAACAGTCTGGCTTAAGTGCACAGAGAAGCACTAGAGAATTACAAAGCAGGTGGTAGCCCATACGTAGTTGGAAGTACAATTAAATTTACTGTAAATCTTATGAGATAGGTGAGATAAGTGGGCATGCTAGATAGACAGCAGTATATGTGCAGCTTTGCAGATACACTTTCCATTATGACTTGTATCACAGCTGTTTTAGAACTTTGTGTTTTGATTAGCGATTCATTTGTGCTGTTTATCTCAGTAATTTTCACTTGGGTTTCCTCCTTTGCCTGCCCTATATGTTGGGCAGTGATAGGAAGATCCCCTGAGACAATCACATCAAAGTGCAGCACAACGAGTTTGATTTTTGAAGTACAAGCTCACCAGGCCTTGACGCTCCTTGTGCTGGAGGGAAGTGCTGATGGACGCAGGAGGGCCTGTCCTGCCCCGCTGCCCCAACCTAGCAGCTGAGGCCAGAGAGGAACTTGGGTCCACCATTGGAGCTTCCAGAACAGTTGTTTTCCAGCCACAGCAGTTGGACAGCACGTTGTCCCAGCGCTACAGATACCCTCACTGTTATGCATGGTGGGCAGCAGGTGGCTCTGCACTGGCTGGCCGCTTGTGAGCCAGAGACTTCCTTAAATCAGATGGGATCTGCGTAGTGTTAACATAGGAAATTTATTGCTCCCCAAGGATTCATAAGCAGCACTGACAAATTTACTTCATGCTGCATTTTTGAGATGGTCGTAATGTGAGATGGGGGAGGTTTGGAAGGTTTGAAGGAACAAACCTATTAAATTTTCTAGTCATATGGCAACAACAATCTAATTAGTTACTTGTTGTGATTTATTTTATTAAGCACTTTCCAAAAAATCAAGGCCTCTTTCTCCTACGCGAAGAACTGGATAAGAGAAATACAAATAATGATTTGTTCCTTGTCAGCACTGACTGCTTTCTTTCACCTGCTGTAGTCATTAGGAGTTTAAAACTTTTAAAAAAGGGGAAAAAAGTTGCATATATATATCCAACCACTGAAGCACACTGTAATTCTCTAGAAAGATTCTGAAAGCAATGTGTTTAGCCTTTTCAACAGAAATTGCTTAAATACCACACTGACATCACAGAAAATTTACATTTTTTTAGTTAATGTTCTGTTTTGTTTGAAGTGGATAAACTCTGTAAATCCTGTGTAGCAGGACAGCAAAGCACTATATGCTTAAAGTATGTGCTCAGACAGATCCTCAGCAAACAAATCTGCTTTGTTTTTCTTTTCTTTTCCTTATTACCAGTTCCTATCTTTACAAATCCTTGTGCTTGAAAATGATTTGTGTTGTGTCTGTTATTTCATAGTTTACTTCTTAACATCACTGAAATCCAAAGAGGAAGGAGCAAGAAATGCATTGTCAAACAAATTCTGAAGGAAGATGAAGAATAAATTGAAACAATTAAGCCTCTTAAATGAGGTTCTGGTACTGAATATTTTTTAAAACCATAATCTTTTCATCAAGTCATATTGGACAAATCTTTTATGTATAAATTGGTTTAAGACTTTGTGAATATTTTAAGATTTGTTGTGTAACTGTGATTTTTCAGTTTCCAAAAGGGATTATTTCTTGAAGCACAGAAAATAAGATATTTTGAATAGTCAGTAGATACTTAAAAATATATATATATACACGGATATATATATATATATAATCAAATAGATTTATTGATCTTACATTTTGAAAATAACTACAAGAGTTATTTAATTACTCAGATTTTAGGGTAACCTGCAAGAATAGACTCAGTGGTGAAAAAAAAAGCTGCTAAATATTCTCTTTAGTTCAGACAGTTTAGACACACGAGGATACTCATATTTCTTAAAAATACCTGAGGAAAAAAAGAGTTCTGTTCCCTTCTGAATTTGACCATGATGGAGACAAGCAGGTCAGGTCTGTGAAATTTCCCGCCTTTTTGAATGTGTAAAACAGAGAACTTGAAATTAATTGTTAGGAATCAGAATAGTAAACTACCAGGTATAAAGACGCGTAGAGAGCATCAAAATGAAGTACATGACAGAAGCTGTTTCCACTGTTTTTGGTATAAATCACTTGAGGAACACGTCCCCTGGGTTTTATGAAATAAGTTGACCCCTTTCTTCAGTATTCACACATCAGAGGATCACATAAATGAGCACATGCTCCTTCAGAGAGAAAGTGGTGCAAAAGGTTAACCACGGAGAGAGAAGGAAGAAAGCTTTCAGTGTCCATCTTTCACAAAACATATAGTGAGACATCTCAGTTTAATGCCAAAGTGTGTTCTCACGTAAAGTGTTGTGTTTGTGAAAGAACTAGTGCAGATAAGATTCACTACAATAAAATGTACGGGAAATACGTATTTGCACAATGTGTATGTTTCTTCTTGTTTGGCAATTATTGCTGACTTAAAGATGCAGCTTTTCTTCTTTATAAACTTGACTGGAATTTCTAAGAAACCCCTTATTTCTCAGGTGCTAGGTAGATATCTCAGGAAAAGGCTGGTCAGGGTTTGCTCTGGCTACGGAAAAGCGGCAGCTGAAGTCTGTCTTTAAGTGATCCTCTTGCAAATCCTGATGGATAGAATACCTGCTAGGAGTCTGTGCCTCTTAAAGGTGTGAACACCATCGGGATTTAAAACACCTCAGTGACATGGCGCTTTTGGCATGGTGATTTAAGTAATGGAATTGTCTTTGAAAATATTTTCTTATGCTAACTTCTACTGAAAAATTTACGGTACTCACTGTGACCCTTTTACATGATAGAGCCCTTTGTTATGGGCACTGGTATTTTGGGGGTAATAAATTGTGAAGACAAACAAACAAACAAAAAACCAACAAAACCAAAAACAACTTCTTTTTTTTTTTTAATAATAGAAATTTTATAGCCCAAGTTCTGTGTTCTAATTGTGACTCACAAAACTCACAGGCATATCTTGGGATTGGAGTGATGTAAGTTGCTGATTTGAAAAAGAGTAGGAAACTGCACAAGAAACTTAAGCACTGAGCTTTATTTTGTTTTCTTGAAATGAGAAAATTTGTACACGAAATAGCTACAATATGTGTATTACACTAGCACTTAAATAACATACACAGTGTCATTCAGCGTCACATATATAGTGTAGTGGTGTCTGGTCCATATATTTGCCTCTAGAATTTTGGGGAATTTTCATAAATTAGCAGGCTACTTTGTGTAAATCAGCCATAACGCTGCTTGCAATTGAGAGCAACACAGAATTTTAGTTCAAATAAATCAAACTTCTGCAAACAGAACTGTAAAGTTGAATTTCAAGCAAAATTCACAATTTTGGTTTCTCTTTTTATCTTAAGTAGTGGTATTCATATCAAATATTGGTTTTATCCTGATTCAAATTCTCTGTGTTCTAATTTTTGCAAAATGTCTAATTTGTGTTTCTTTTTCTTTCTTTTTCTTTTTTTTCTCCCCCCCCCCTCCCCTTCCCCCCCTTTCCTTGTCTCTTTCCCCCTTTTCAACAGTCCTGGTACCTGGGCTAGCTTGGTTCCTTTTCAAGTATCAAACAGGACACCGATCCTGCCGACAAATGTCCCAAATTATGGTTTGAACATAATTGGAGAGCCTTTCCTTCAAGCAGAAACCAGCAACTGAGGGAAAAAATAAAAAGAAAAATTAGGAAAAAGAAAAAAAAGGAAGGAAGATGGGATGAGAGAAGAAACTGAAGAGCGAAGAAAAAATAGACCAGCAATTGCAGCACTTACAATCACTAATTTCCTTATGGTCGAAACTGAAATGACATACAAAGGGTCGATGATATTTCACTGATGGGTAGAATGCAGCTCCTGCTAAGTAGCCTTTGTTATATGAAGTCCGCTGGGAAATAGATGTTCTGTCTCTGACAATATATTTTAACTGACTTTCTAGATGCCTTAATATTTGCATGATAAGCTAGTTTTATTGGTTTAGTATTCTTGTTGTTTACGCATGGGATCACTATTCCTGGTTATCTCACAAAACAAAGGCTAGGCAGCAGCAGCAGATTTGCAGGAGGACAAGGGCTGTAAGCCAGCCATTTTCTCAACACTCTGATTTCTAAATGTTTAAAAAAAAAAAAAAAAAAAAAAAAAAAAAAAGCTCTGTAGCCTTTAGTTATCAGTATGGATTTATTAAACTTTGGCCCTTGACTCAGCCTTTTCTAGTGTGTTACCCAGCTTGAAATTTTCAATCAGAATGAACACACACGCTCTATGTAAGAAATGCCTCTACGTAGGTAAAAGTGTTATCTTTTCATGCAACAGCAAAAAGAAAAGGAAAAAAAAAAAAAACAACCCAGAAACTTTTTACCCACTAAAGAAACACTTAGAGAGGCAAGTGCAATTTAAAAGTCGTATCAAAGGGGTCATCATTATAAGTCCTTCAGCCCTTGGACTCTAAATTGAGGGGATTAAAAAAAGAATTAAAATTTACTTTGAACAAATTTATTTTTCCCCTCAGTTTTTGAGGGCATTAAAAGGCATTACATCAAGACAAATCATGTCCTTGAGAAAAATAAATCAGTGAAAACACAGCACTTATGTTGGTTTAGCTGCTGCCTCCACAAAGGGGTAGAATTTATTTATTTAAAGTTACTGGTTGCATCAAGAACCCATAGGGTTTATATTTTTCTGTATAATCTGCATCATAGAGACAAAGAGATAGGCAAATCCATGCCAAAAGGGCAAAGCTTACTGTTTACAAACTGGTAATACCAGGATGGGGATAAGATTTATTTAAATAATGCACTCTCTAAGTCTAATTACAGGGTGCTGAAAACTTGCATGGTGCTTTCAGAAGTTAGCCTTGTTCAACAGATTTCACATATTGACAGAAATATAATGTGCATGGGCAGACATTTTGCCTCTATGTCTCTCAAAAAATAATTAAAATACTCTTTCCAGTAATCCTGATTTGCACGAAAATATAATGTCCACATTACGTGCCTTGCCTTGAAATCTAAAAAATGAAAAAAATACAAAAAAATACAAAAAATCCACAAAAACAACAAAAAAAAATTGACATCACTACACTTGTTTTGCTGCATTTATTATCATTTAAATCTTTACCATTTTTATGACAAAATATTTTGTACTCCAGATGGGAAAAAAGTGTGACATCATGGATTTTTTAGACAGTTATATCTTTATCTCACATTTATAAAGCATATCATGGCTGTGTATAATTGCCGCTTAAGAATTGTAATCGACCAGCAATATTTTCAGTATTTTGGTGTTTTTTCTATTAACCTTTCATGTTTTTCATCTTCCAATTAATATTGGGGGGGAGGGGATTCAAATTTATACGAATTATGCAATACCAAGTTTTGCCTAAGTAGGTAGTGCTTTTAGCTGTATTGGTTATTATAGGTAAGTACACAGATTTAAAAGAAAAAAAAAAAAAAAGAATAATGTATGCTTTTTTTTTTTTTTTTTTTTTTTTTTTTTTTTTTTTAATTGACCAAAGTGGGTACTGCTATTTTTGCAGTGTGATGAGGTCCTTTTATGTACTGAGAGATGGACGGGGATTTTTTTTTTATACATATATATATATTCTGGGGTGGGTGGGGATGATTTTTAACACTTTACAGTGTAGCTGTGAAGCAGTGCACCCTTAGCCAGGCAAGGGCTGCAAAGCGACTGTTCTGCCTACTGTGACAAACTTTCAAATCGGTTCCCTCTTTTAACTTCCCACCTGGGGTGCAAGCTGAAATCATTTCTGGATTTAAAAAAATAAATAATGAATTCTGTTGGAGGCAGACTTGACTTGAGGAAATTGTTTTACTTCGAATTTCTTTAGAGAGAGAGAAAAAAAGGGAGAGAGTGATAGAAACAGAGGGGAGAGAGGCAGCCAGAGGGAGAAGGAGTTCAACACCCACAGCAAGATGAAGCCTTCCCACTCTGGTAAATGCACTACATCTGAAAACGTTTGTGTTAGAAATGTTTTTAACTTAGAAAGATCCTTGCTTTGTCTAGGAAATGCACATAGAGGGCCAAAATCTTTGCTGGCATAACTCCACTGGCTTCAGTTGACTTCAGAGCTGTTCCTGCAGGGAATTTGCCTTCTTTAGTCTGCATGGCTGGTAAATATTTCTTTTCCCCTATAACAAAATTATTTTTTGAAGTTTGTCAACTCACAGTGTCTGAGTTCTGATCTTCATCCTGCTCAGACCATGTCAGATGTTTGCAAAGTCTTCTCATACAGCAGGTCAGATGGAGAGCTCTGGGCTGTAGCAGGAAAGGACTTCAGAATGGGTGGAATTAGACTATGGTGTAAACAAAAGTGCATTTCCAGTAAAATCAGACCTTACAGATTAGCAGTGAGCCTGTTGCTGGAGACTTCTTATACTCTGGGGATGCCTCTTATCTACAGCTCAGTGTAGGGAGAACACCTTCATGTGCAAGGAAAGGATGGAAAAGTCTTGAAATGGGGTATCCTTTCAGCCCTCTGTCTCTTCATTTCAAAGGTTTTCCCGTCTCGGAGCAGCCCCAGAGTACAAGTCCAGCAACAGGTGCTGGGTGCTGACACACTGACATCGGTCCCTTCTCGCCTTGAATCATATCATAGAATCATAGAATCATAGAATCATAGAATCACAGAATCATAGAATCATAGAATCATAGAATCATAGAATTATAGAATGGCCTGGGCTGAAAAGGACCTCAAATATCATCCAGTTTCAACCCCCCTGCCATGGGCAGGGTTGCCAGCCACTAGACCAGGGTGCTGAGATCCACATCCAGCCTGGCCTTGGCCAGCACGTGGCTGCTGTGATGCTCTGGTGGTGGCACATCCTGTGTGTCCCTGCAGCAGGCAGAGCATGGACAGATACTGAGGCAGAAGCTGTAGAAAAGCAGATCTTTATCTGCATTTAAACTGAAAAGGAAAGGAAAAAAGCTGGGGAAAAAAAAAAAAAAAAAAAAAAGAAGTCCAATATCAAAGTTATGTTTCACTTTTCCTGAGCCCCATGGTAAGTGACTTCATTTCCTAAGCATATTGCTGTTAAGACTAGCTGAAATGTGGGAGACCCACCCAGAGCATATCTGAGGCTCTGGCCTAGTGAAATAAAATGATGTTATTGCCTTTCCTGCTGGGCTTTCCTGATATTGAGTGGTCAGGGAGCACTGTCCATGCTGCAGAGAGCAGGATGTCCCCTAAACTTTTAAATGCATGCCAGGATGAAACCGAAATGTATGTGATTGCCAAAAGGACGAGTATGCCTGAGGGAGGATGGATGGCTTTATGTGAGCTTTTCTGTTATCTCTGGCCTCTTGTATGAAAAAAAATGAGCTTGCAGATGTGATAATTCTAAAAGCAGATTTCTTCCATGTGAATGAATTGGTTTGGTTAAGCAACTGTGGGTTTTTTCACACGTGCCTCTCTGATAGAAAAGTCTGGTTGGAAGAAAACACACTTCATTTATGTTTTTTTTGTTGTTGTTGTTTTGTTTTGTTTGTTTGTTTCTTAAGCTCAGCAGTCAAAAGATTAAGATAACATTGAGAACTCAAATCCAGTCTCTGGCCTCCTCCTTCACCAGGAAGTGTATTCTGACTAAATCAAGCCACCCCGTTCTATGTGCACTGTTCTGCCTTTATTAAGTTGCTTTGCAGCCCTGGCCTCACGGCTGTGCCACTGAAGTGTGTTCCCCCTGGAGTGACATGAACGTTTGAGGCTTGACTATGGAAAAAAAAAGGCAGTGAAGGAGACTGTACATAAAGACATGGCAAAAATATTAATTATAGCAATATAGTTGTGGGGTGATGTTCAGGTGGGCAGCTCCATTGAAAATATGTGAATGGATTTGTGAAGCTGCAAGTAGCGAGAAGAAAGGAGGATCTTCTGAATGAAACGCCTACCTTGTAGACAGTAATTTGTACACTGTATAGTTTTGTTAAGATTTTTTTTTTTTTTAATTAAAATACCCTTGTTTGTAAAGCTAACTTTTTAACAATTATAATGGAAATATATATTATTTCCATTTTTAAAGTAAACAAGAATATTCCTTGTTTGGAAGCTGGACTTGGGTTAAAACTCTCCAGTTTCTTAATTTATGTGTTAAAAAAAAAATAAAAAATCTGTCCATGTTAGCAGTTATTTCACAGATTCCTATGCTTGAAAAGCATAGGTTACTAATCCTTTAAAAATGTAAATGGAGAAAAGTTATATTTTATGAAGGTTATTTTGTTGTATTTAGTATTGGAAAAGTTGGTTTTCAGAGCATTTCAAAATGTTGGAAGCACCACTGTCTTTTTATTAGTATATATGGCCTTTAGCAAAAGTTTTTGTGATTGTTACATGATGGTATTTAAGATTAGGTTCACAGAGCAATTCAGGATAGGCAGAGAATAAAAACAGTACTTATGTCTCACATAGCTGTGTCCTCAGGGAGCAGAATTTTGGATTTGCAACTTGTAGCTTCATAAGGACTTAATGAAAGAGATTGCACAAGGACATACTCAGCTGTGACACCGGAGTGTGTTCTGTAACTAAATCTAAATTATATTTACTGTGTGAGGTTATGAAGGCTGCAGAAAGTTATCCCATATTCAGTGTACAGTATTCACTTTTAATGAAACAACTCTTTAATGTTGCTGGCAGTAAGGTCCCAAGCATGACATCCAACATAGTTTATATGATCCTGTCAAGGTCTTTTGTTAACATTAACCAGCTGCAATGCTCCTGGACTTTTATTTTTATTGGGTTTCTATAGAAAACTTAAAAAAAGAAAAAAGAAAAAAAAAAAAAAAAAAGTAAAATTGTACATGAGCTAAGAAATTTAAGCAGGAAAAGCTCAAAATTGAGTGTTCAACTCCAAACTGAAGGAGCTGAAAACTGTCTCCCTCTTATTTGCACTTTCTGCTACTTCCCAATTTTTTTCTAATTCCTCAAAATTGTGTGGGTGTGGTGGAGCACTGCAGTTGGAGGATAACACAGACCACTGATTTTGCCCTTTAACCCTGCACAATGACCTTTGCATCAGCCAAACTTATTGCCATGACAACTCTTTGTACTGTTTCCACGCCACAGCTCTGTTGGTCACATTGTTAATAGCAAAGGGGACAAGTCCAAGACGGTCAATTTTTACATTTTTTGTTGCAATTTTTTCTTCAGTGGTTGTAAGTAGGTTTTTGTTTCTTTTCTTTTCTTTTTTTTTCTTCTTCTTCTTTTTTTTTTTTTTTAATAATAAAAGGGTTCACTAGTTATTACTCTTTAGAAATATCTGTGTGTTGCAGTTCAAATGTATGTTGAATTTGTGAAAAGGGCTTCAGTGCCACTAGCATCATGATATCCTAGAATAAGCCTTTCATACTTTTATTGCATGATACAGTAACAGTAAAGCAGAAGGTGGCCTATATAGATGGAAAGCAGCGTGAGCTAGTGACACTAAAGCCAGTCTTGTATTACTGTATTTTTGACAGAATGGTTTTGAAACTGTGCTACAGGGACTGATGTGGCAAATGTATCTCTATATGCAGAAAGAAGTTTTTTAAGAAGTCTGGCTTATTATGCATTCTTCATTGAGGGCATTGAAGTTGCATGGACTGATAAAAGTTGATGCAAAATGAGAAAGAAACGAAAACCAGCAAAATGTTTACCAAAAAATCTCAAACAAATGAGCAGTGCCTGTTCAATTTCACAGTCTCTGTTGAGTTCAGTTGTAAATATGTTTCAGATAACATTTTCTTCAAAAAAATAAAAATCTCTACAACAGTGTAGAATGTGAGGGGTTCCTCAAGTCCCAGGCATAGGCTTCTCATGAGCTGCGTTAGGTTATGTCTTCATCAAGCTGTTAATTTGTGCTTATATCATATAGAACTTTTAGCGAACTGGGAAGAGGTGCCCCATCTCAATGATATTTCTCTGAGAACAACTTTTGTAGGGCTGTGTGTTTCTTTAGATACATTTAGTACAACTGTAGTGACAAGTAGTCAGTTATTGCTTGCTAGCTACACACCAGGGTTGATCCATTTTAAAACTTCTGGCATTTTTCCCCATACTGTAGGCCATAAATTCTGAAGGTTATGTTTTAATTAAAAAGTAGGTGTGTGCACAATCGTGTAACGAAACTTCACCTGTAGGATGCATTACAGTACAGCTACTTAACTGTGGAACTAAGGCCCTCTGGCATGAGACGTGTTTTTAGCCTGAGTGTTAACAAAGGTTTTTATTGTGCCTGGTTGGAGGAGAATAATGTTCTTTTTGGTACTTTTTTTTAATGTTACAAATGAACTCAACTGCCACAAGTTTTAAACTGGTGTAAATCAAGCTTGACTTAATGTGATTGTTACTGTTATATCCAGCCTATACTGCTAGCAGCTGCTCATACTGCAGTCAATTACTGGAAGCGGATATATTTCCTATGCAAAAACTGTTTAAACAATAAAAATGAGCTATGCTACAGACCATGGTCTCATGTTTTCTTTTCTATCTCTAAGAGTGGTAATTAGTGATATCTTAGAATCTACCCTTGACCCTTTTACCCTGGCCAGAATGACACAGCTTACAGAGTTCTGTGTACACTTAGGTTAAATTGAACATATCTGTTTGCATACATGCAGACTCAGTGGTATGCGGAAAAAGGAGAACAGAAACGAAGTGATATAACTAGATAAGCAGCTCAATTCAAAAGCTTATATTTTGTTTTCTTTATCACGTCTTACCAGCTCCAGTAATTACACAGGTGACCCAAACTACTTTCTCTTGTGATGTAAGATTAAGCATGATACTTCTTTTAAAGTATAATAGACCTGTGACAAGCGAGGATTAGTAAATCTTCATCTTTTAAACAGCCTTCACAAACAATGCTTTTTTTTAAAAAAAGAAGACAGCAACATTACAACTTCTCAAAACTCTTTGGAATTTTCATAACATCAGAAAGCATCGTTTTGGACCAAAGGCTTTGAAATCCACAGAATAATTCTGCTTCATAGATGTGAATATGAGATGTTTCACAGAGCTGATGTTCTTAGAAATACACTTGTTTTTCTTACACCATTGGGAACCCATATTCTACTAGTAAGTATGAATACGTTCTGGCAATGACTGACCGGATCACAGGATCACAGTGCTGCAGCAGTTACTGCTGCACAGTGAAGCGAAACAGCTTTCCATCTACTTTGATAAAAATATTCTGCATGTTCTAGCACATAAGCCTTATCCAGTTTTGACCATTAGTGTGCAAAATGTGAAGTGGTGGTTTGTTATTTTACCTTAGTGGGTTGTTTACACACATCTATTAAATGAACTAAGTTCTATGAAAAATTCACTGTTTTATGTTTGGCTCTGTGAAGCAAATTGCTTTGTCCTGAAATGTTAGGAAGTTCTACCAATTTCTCCTGCTAGTGTTCACTTCAATACTACTATCAGGATATGATTTGCAAATTATATCAAGGACATCAGGTGCCATTTCTGAAAATCCAAAATAGAAAACCTTCCAGAATAACACATAGATGCTTCAATTCAGTCCGGCCTCCCCTCTGTGGGAAGGAAATTCCTTATTTCTTGAGCCATTCTGATCAGAGCTTCAAAGTAACTTATTCTTGTATATGACCCACTAGAATCCCAAGGCAAGTTTCCTACAAGATTTTGTTGCTGCATTCCATGCATGTTGGCTGCTCAG